CCTTTTGGAGTTGCTACTGCACTTTAGCTCACAGTGTGGATGTTGGATGCCTCCCAATATTGGGACTGTAGCTCTTCCAATCCAGTGGGGGTGGAGTAGTAAAGGAAGGGCTTTTCAAGATGCATTTATTAGCAAAATAAACCAGATGCTCATTTTGCTAGTATACTTGTGTGTATTTGTTGTTATAGATCTGACTCTGCAGTCATGTAGCTGAAGAAGTCTGGTTCCTCCTTCAACTCGGTCACAGTCCTTTTCATAAGTAACTTTTCCCTGTTGTCCTCTGATGGAAGGGACTTTCTTGTTCTTTTGCCTAATGGCATCCCAAAGTTTATCAAGGCAATAGTTGAAGTGTCCTTACCCATTGAAGGTCCAGTTCTTCGATGTCAGTCAAACCTAATACATGGGCTTTTCATCACAGCTGTTCTTTGAGCCCTTCTTTGTGTGTTCCCTCTGTGGGCTTGTTATGAAACTCTGATTAATCCATGGGAACTGTGGAGATACACGGGCTGTAATGACAGATAGCATGGGTATGGTTGTCAGGGGACTGTTTTTATGGATCCTGCCTAAGTTCCTTCATCAGGGGATGAGAGCTACGCTTTAGCCAGGTGATTAAGTTATGACGTATCTGTCTCGGGCTAAGGATAATTTTTATGTTTTGATGGCTTTTTCATTATACTTGAAGTAATTCCCAAAGTTGTTCATGTAGTACCTGATCAACTCAAAGGAACTTCTGTTTCCATGTCAAAACCGTGGAAGTGAGTAGTGAGATGCATTGAAAAATCTGTTGTGAGACTTCTGAAATGGATCCCACACGCTGACCCCACTCCTGTGCCAATGCACCAGTGAGGACTCAAGCTCCTTTACTAGTCTTTATGAGAAATACTTCATTCCCTGGCATCTGCTAAATGGCTACCTGGAGTTCTACTGTAGTTTCACCAAGCACTCTTCCACTGTAGAAATGCCCAAGTCTCCTTACGCTAGTCTTGTCTACCTGTTCCTTTCAGTTGAAAGTGTTGTGAATTTACATGTGAGAAGTTGCTCGCAGCTGGAGAGTTAGCAGCACTGGTGGAGTTCTTCAAGAAAAGCAGTCTACATGTGTATCTTGTGTTCATCTTCTCTACCTTTTCATCCAGAGTTAATCTGGTACTTGGCTATGTTGGGATTACGTAGTTGAGAAGGCATGAAGATGGCAGTAAGTATATGCCTGGGCTGAGCAGGAAGGATGGTAGAAGTGAGGGTACCATGTACAAAACAGTAACTGAAAGGAAAAAAACCCTCTCTCCTCATAAGCAAGAGGGCTCCTCTATGCCCACGGTTTGAAGGTACACAACTGTCACATCTTGGAGGGGTCTTTTTACCATGTCCGTATAAGTTTTTAACCTCAGTGTTGCGTTTCTGTTTTCACCTTACAGAAAGGAGATCACGGTTAAGTTACGTAGGGTTGAGTGTGTCCTTGCACAGTGCAGTTCTTGTGTGTCTGTAATTTTAGCCAGGAAAACTCCTCCACTGAGCTTTAATCCCCACTCCTACTAGTGTTTTGCAGGCACTTATTTTCTCTCTATCTTAATTTTTCCCTTGTGCTGAATGTTGCTTTGTTTCTTATTTCACTCCTCCTTTAGATCCTCTCTGTCTGCTCAGCACTTTATCCTTCTGTTTTCCTATATCAGCTTCTTGAAGCCATGTTTCAGTCTAGCTAATTCATTGTGAGAAGCACAAACTTTTATACAGTGCACTTGTAGGTAGGTGTTAAGCGGGCAGTTAGGAGAGAGTATAGAAGAAACAGTGGACAAAATTAATCTGTAGTGCAACTCAGATTTGCTGAAATTCTCAGGTGTGAGACATTGCTGCTTTCTGCCAGGGTAACTCCTATTAAATGGAATTAGCCCTAATTACTACCAGCATAAATGAACTAAGGATTAGGTTGGCATCCTTCTAGTTAATGTAAAGTTTCATGTTAAGATGTTAATCGGGAAAATACAGGCAATACTTTTGTAGCTCAGGAAGGCATAATTTTCTAATGTAGTTTTTCCTTGTCATCTGCAGGTTTCTGGCTGCTAATATAAGTGTGTATCGACAGAAATTCATCAGCCTCCCCCACCCCCAGGAGACTACTTATTACACTTACACAGCGCAAGATATTAAAAACACTTTTGTCTATCACACAGCCACGGGCAGGGGAGGGGGAATTTGCCAGTTGCTAATGGATACCTGGAGTTTTTGTGTATGACCATGAAGAACAGCTTGTGCACTTTCACCCCCGATGTTCCCTGAATAACTTGGGTCTCATTTAGGTCAATAAGCCTTTATGAAAACGTCAGGAGTGAAAAATGTGTCTTGGTGTAAGCCGACTGGTCGTTCCCTCCAGTCACCGGAGTCTATAGGACAATCAATGTTCTCTAAGCTTGTCTGCATGTCACGCAAAGAGCTGGATGACAGTAACCATTGACTGCGTGTCTGTCGCATTGTCTTTGGGACAGCCCCCATTTGCATACTTGCCGGTGTGCCTGTTATCCAATGAACCATGGAGGGCCTTTAAAAAACATACGCGCACAACTCCGATGCAAATGTCCTACGCAGAGAATACACGCTTCTTTAAAGCACAATCCAGGCTTTCACTTTCTACCTCTTGCTATAAAACTGAAACTGTGATCTTGACAAGGCCATGGTGCCTGGTCAGAGTGCTGTTTGTGGTTTCATTGTGCTAAAACATTAACTTTTCTCTGGGTTTTTCTTTGCCTACCAAGATAATTTTTTGTTGCTCTTTTGCTTTTGGGGATATCTGAACAGTATTATCTGTGCTATCACGTATGATGTGAGGGCATTACATCCCTTCCTCAAATTAGTTAGTTTGAATGAAGGACAGTTTTTGCTCCCTGTATGGTTGCTATTTTCTTTTGTTAAGGGAGTTTCCTCCCTAGTACTGATGAAAAGAGACATACCAGCCTTCTGCATACAGAAGAGTACTTGGATATTGGAGTTTCTTGACCACGTCTGTGAAATGAATACAATCACCTGATCAGAAAAGACGGCCTCTGGTGCTTTATTTTGGTGTGACAATTCAACAGCATATCATGTAAAGCAGGGTTCATAATTTTGCCATTCACTGTAAGTAAATAACATGAGGTAAAATTAGAGAAAGGGAGAGTTTCATTGTGTTTGAAGCTTCTGTCGTAAGACGCAGACTTTCCTGAAAGTGTCTGGTGCAGATGGTGTTTCTTTAGATTCATGATGTTCATTATGACTTTATTTTATTGAAAAATATGCAATTTAAAATATTTCCAATTTAAAATATGTCTAATTTAAAAAAAAAAAGGGAAGGGCTCTGGTGGATCCTTTCAGAATGAAGCTGTAGAAGAGGTTCTTGGCTGGGTTGAAGGGTCTGAGCTTCATGTTTATTACAACCAATGATCTGGACAGTTTCATTACATCTTGAAAATCTAACTGGAATACAAGTGACTATAAACAATTGTGATAGCTGTACTGCTGCATCTGACATCTTGCACACGTTATGAGATTGTTAAAACTAAGGGAAAGGGTCCTGGCTAATGTTCTCCTAGCTTTTCTAGAAGTGTCGCGGAGTTAACTTCAACACTGTAGTGCTCTGAGATGAACAGTTTGTTATGCCATCAGGAGATTGGTGTTTTAGGGCTACAAAAAGATTACAGCGAAGTTAACTGATGCATAACATTTTTTTCCCCTCTTTGCTTTTTTTCTCCTTTTGCTAATGCAGACCCATTATTTTATTCATGCATTCTTGAAGCTAATAGTATGACTCCCATTCATCTTGACTGGACTAGGGTTGTATCCTGGTTATTTCAGTTAATTTAGAAAATAATCATAGGTGCTATCTTGAGTCCTGTTTGCCAATCTGTTATGAAAAACGGTGAACCCTGCAGAAATGAGAGGAGGCTGGATAAAATGTTCAGGAGCATGTCATCTTCTCTGCAGTTGCTCTTTGTATTAAATCACTCCATGAAATAAGCAGCTTGTTCTCTTAATCTGCATTATCCTATGTAACTGTGATACCTTGTGATTGGTTTCTCTGCTTTACTCTTTCCATATGCCATGTGTTGTGTGTTTTCAATTACGAGCCACTGTTGCCATTCCAATTAGTAGGTTTTGCTGTTGGCTCTGATAGAGAATGTGGCCAGTTATTAATCAAGTTGGCCAATAAGGAAGTATTGCAGCTCCCGATACTTGAGGAAACTATGCTGAGTATGCCATGCTCAACCAGACTGTAGAAAAGCGAGGTTTATCTGCACAATGACTAAATGCCAAATACAACATAATTGTACCTCTGTCTAATCAACAAGAACGTCAGATGTCTTTGACATCTATCACTTTGTAGGCATTTCCAAAGTCATACCTTAGTGTAGGTCTGTGGTTAGCAGGTGGCTCGATACCAGCAGTGCTTCAGGACTAGACCTCTGTTTCTGCTGGTCTCATAGTTGTTGATAAGAGGATGGGAAGGGTGTGCTTGAGATCTCACTATGTGTTCAGTGCACCCGGAGACTGGCATATTGGTAATGGGTACTAGAAATCTGTCTTCAATCTGTGTGAGATTAAAGGAAGACTGAAGAAGTATGAGTAAGTGGGAGGTTAAGCTGATACAGTAAATGGAATGTGAAGCACACCTCTTCCCGGGATGAAATACGCTAGCAAAATACTCATCCTCTGAATACAGACTCTGCTTGTTTTCTTTGGCTCAGTCAGGAAGCCTTTTGTTTGAATTAAACCAAGTGAATTGCACAGGATGATTTTCAGTTTTAGTGTGTGTAGACAAGCCAAACTGCGTGCAATTAAAGCATTTAGCCTTGCTCTTAATCTTTTCTTTCTTTACTTTTACAGGTTCTTCTATGTTTAGGTAATTTTGGTATAGTTGAAATTTTTTTCACCTTTCAAATTTTACATTTTATTTTAGTCTTTCCTAATACATTCTGAAAAAAAGTGGAAAGATGTACAGTAGAGAATTAACCTAGTTCCCTGTCTGTTTCTTTTAGGAAATTGTATTAGTGGTATTTTTTGGAACAGAATACGTGGTTCGGTTATGGTCAGCAGGATGCCGCAGTAAATATGTTGGAATATGGGGAAGGCTTCGTTTTGCTCGGAAGCCTATTTCAATCATTGGTGAGTATGCACAGCTTGCAAAGTTGATGTAAACAATGAATAAAACTTGTCCTTGAAAGTTTTGAGAAGTGGAATTTCTGTAGTAGTTGAAGCCAAGTCAGAGCAAGAGCTCTTGTCATTAACATTAATGTAGATCTGAATTTCCTTTCAGGAATCCATGGCACTGTCATTTGAGAACAAATGTAGCTTGGTTTGTTTTTCCAGAAGAGCACAGTGTTTTCTTTTCACAAGCGATTTGAAGCTTTGCCAGAAATAAGTCTTGGCCATAGTCCTGTCTCCTGTGACCTCAGGATCCCAGACACTGTACAATAGCTACAACTGTATTTTTTTTTAACGATACTGAACAGCCTTTTTTTTTTTTTTCCTAGCAGCCATTTGAATAATTTATTATAAGTTTATTTTGCACAATTGAGCTGCGTACTGCATGGTGGAGCATGATAGATGCACTGTAGTCACTTTGTGTATCTATGGGATTAAAATACGGTTTTCAGCGATACATTTGGAACTGGGCACCTAGCTTCCTTTGATATTCACTGCAGTTGGCTTCCTAATGTGACTTCAGTGTTCTTAGAAATGACATCCATATATTCCATATATGTCACAAACTGTTATTTTTTTAGAATGCTTGTCATGCATTTAACAATTTCACTGAGAGAAGCAAACATAATAATCCAAAATAAATCTGTATGTTTTTAGCCAATACTGAGAGAACTATGTAAAGACCCTTGCCCTGAAGCACTTAAAATACAAATGGATTAAACAAACCAGATTTTGGAAAAGCAGTATTGTTATAGAAGCGTAGTAATACTTGTTCTGTGACATAGTTGTTTCCGCTACTCAGAAACAGTATTTATTATTGAGTAGAAGATCTAGGTTTTATTATCAACTATCTACAATTTTGCTGAATATAAATTACAAAATTTTGTACCTGAGTATTTTGCAATCATAAGATAGTTTAGCTTCTCTCTGCATATATATGTAACAATAACAACTATGTTTCAGGTGTGACTGCAACTATGAAATGGCTTTGACTGCCTCTTTGCACTCTGTCCACAATCCATTTCTCTTGAGACCTAGAATGCTAGGGGCTCTGAAACATCATCCAATTTATTTCAGCTTGGAAAGCAAAACATTCCTGCATATGTATCAAGAACTATTTCATTCTCCAAAATACAGAGTTGCTTTCCAGAATTAACTAGGCCTGAGGCACAGAGATTTAGAGTATAGTCCGAGGGTAATGGCTGACTTAAACTAAATTACTCATACACTAATGCCAGTTTTTCTCTCCCTGGGACAGACAAAATAATAGTAAGGCAATTGTGTTATGTGTGAGACAAAACCTAAACCCTCTGTCAATGAATAAAATACTGACTAAAACAGCAGAGAGTGTAAGATATACAGAAGAGATAATAGGCAGAAACTGAAATTCTTCATGGGTTATAGCTAATAAGGCTTCTAGGCTGCTGAGGCTGCTTTACAGTAATTCATATCACTCTCATCATTCATCTAGAATGTGGCCATCTTGGACCAGTAAAACCTTTCTATCATATCGCATGTTTATATTTTCTTTATATTTTACAATAGAGATCTTTTGATAGATAAACAAAAATCTTAATTTGGGATGACTGTTCAAATTGTTGAAGTAATATTGGCATTGGTTCTAGTAACAGTCTTGCAAGATGCTGCTAACTCATTTTTTCAATTGACTTTTATTTTCCAGATTTAATTGTAGTTGTTGCTTCCATGATAGTTCTTTGTGTGGGCTCTAAAGGTCAAGTCTTTGCAACTTCAGCTATCAGGTAATTATATGCAATGAAAGAAAATAGTGCTGTCTGAGTAAGATAGGTTGTTTTTTTTTTTCTTTTTTTACCTCCTGTTTCAATTCTTGCAGGAGAAAAGGAGTCACTGCTCAGTCATGTAACAGAGTCATGATCACCAGTGATGTATGGGTGTGAAACAGTGATCCCATTAGGTGCAGGGAAATAAAATTTTCTATGTGTTTGGTTGTAATGCATTTATGTCTGGTAGGGACAGAGGTGCACATACCCCTGCCCCCCCTCCCCAACTATAGGTTTAGTTTCTTGGCTCAGTTACATAGCAACTCTTTCATGCTTCCTGTCTCTGAGATCTTCAAGCTGCTTCTTCATAAAATGCCTGGGGTTAGCAGTTGTGAATTCCTGATGGACTGAATCCACCTTGTGCTTAGGAAGGTCACACCACTTGGTTTTCTTGAACGAGATGGTACACAGCAGTGTACTGTGCTCTGCGCACTAGCTGCAGCGATGCTCTAGGATTGCAGTGACTCTCATAAAAATAGTATTTTAAAATATTATTGGACTGCGTGGTTCAAATTGCCTGTGAAATTCTTCAAAGGTGAGGAATTCAGATTTAGTTAGCTGTCTCTTTATGCTGTTTCCCACCCTGGCGAGCAGGCCAAATATGAGTTGATTTCTAGAGCATTCACAGTTTGTGTCCAAAATGCCTGAATGCCTGAGTTATCCTTACTAGCCATGTGTACAAAGGGCTGTCCTTCTCTTATGTGATCTCTCTCCATGCTGTCTTCATAACAAACAAGATGAAGGATGGGCGAACGGAGTGAAATGAGACAGGATGCTAAGTCTAACATAAAATACTATGTCTCTCTTAAAATGGTCTTTTGGAAGAGACAGACTTACCCTCTCCCCCTTCTATTTCTTTACTTGTACATTTAGTTTCTTCATTCATTTAAAAATTGTGTTCCAGGGGTATCCGTTTTCTGCAGATTTTACGAATGCTGCATGTTGACCGTCAGGGTGGTACATGGAGGCTGCTGGGATCAGTAGTGTTCATACACAGACAAGTAAGTTTGAGTGCTCTGAGGATTGGCGTAATAATTGATGCAAAAGTCCTTGTATTCAGAACAGCATGTATGCAGACATGCTGATGATGTCAAGTATATTTAGCGTGGAGGCAGGCAGTCATTTATTTTAACCAGGTATGGTTGTTCTGCCTTGTTCAAGGGGCAAAAAGTTCCTAAAGATTAAAACTATTCACGTCCACTTTGGTATACTTTTGACTTGTAGTTGCACTTAATCACCAAAAAACAAGACTTCTGAAAAGTAGTCTGAATATTTCTAAAAGTATGTATCTAAATGCCAAAGCTGTTTTGAATGTGGCACTGTCTGCAAAAATTACCCAACTACTTTTTGGTGACCAAAAGGTTAATGAGTCACGCTCGCAAGTGAGGAGGTTGTGCTGACTCTGTGTTTGAAATGTGCATGCTGGACCAAGTCATGAGCTACGGTGTAAATTCTTTCACCGTTGACCTCAGTGGATTTTTGTTCCTATGTGCAGCCAACAGTTGGTGTCAATGGTTATTAACTGCTGAAATAAAATTCTCCTGTTCCAATTATCTTTTAAAAAACACCAGTGATAAGTAATTTAAGTGTCTCAATAATATCATAACACCGTTATTTTGATTGTCTTCGCAGGAACTGATAACTACACTCTACATTGGATTCCTGGGCCTGATTTTCTCCTCTTATTTTGTGTACCTGGCTGAAAAAGATGCTGTAAATGATTCTGGAGAGACAGAGTTTGGCAGCTATGCAGATGCCCTGTGGTGGGGAGTGGTACGTATAGCAATTTCACATGTACTAAAAGTAGTTAACACCTTCAAATGTGGATTAAAGTTCAGGCAAGCATGGAGTAAGAACATCACTTTGAAATGGCCTCTTACTTGCTTCAATACACTTTCTGGTTTTGTAATTCTGTGAAAATAAGAAAATACTATATAGATGATCAGTAGTTTTATTTGTTTTTTATAGTCTTAAGTCATCAGAAGTGATCAAATCATGTATATAGGATGTAGAAACATCTATTCTTATTTCTTTATCCTGTCTTCCCTTCTGTTATAGTGATTACTTCTTGCTAACTTTCTCATGGTAGGGTTCAACCTTCTAAGGTGGTAAGAGTCTTGCTAAATCAGGGCTAGTGTTTTGGGAGGGGTTGTATATGTGTGTTTGGTTTGGGGTTTTTTGACTTTTTTTTTTTTTTTTTTTTTTGTCCTGCTAGTAACAATTCCCTCCTTCTTTTCTCACATGATATGCAAATATTAGGTTGGCTGCTGTGTTCTGGGATTTCCCGTCTGTAATTGTTTCCCTTTCCTCTTCCTATTACAGTTCAAAGAAGGGTACTTTTTGGAAGCTGCTTTTCCTTATCGTTAGCATTCAAGCAATGACTTGGGTTTTTTTTTCTGCTTTAATCGTATGTAGCTTAATAAAACAAGCAGTCATTAAGTGCTACAGATCTTTAAAATGCATAGGCATCACTATTGATTCCATGCTTACATTTTCAAAACATGCTGATCTTCTGGAGTTTTCTCTTTGCTATTTTAAGACAAAAGGCATTGATTCTTTTTTCGTTAAAAATGAGACTACTAGTGAAGTCTTATGTACAAGAGTGATAGGACTAACATGTCTGTTTCACTAATAAACCACTTTTTTTTAAAGAAGTGTTTTTAATAAACCTCTGTGTGTGTGTGCTTATATAGTCTTCTCTCTACAAACACTACTGTTTCAGGAAGGAAAGATCTATTGAAGAGCAAGTCTATTACAGGTCTCCTGGTGCTGAAATGCATATGTAGACTTTTTTGAATACCGTAGGTTTTGTTTAGGTTGCTACTAAGATCTTCTGCAGAATTCTTTCCTCTTGCTGTCTGCCATGGTTAAATACAGCCTCTCTTAGGATCAAAAAACTTGCTGTGTAGCGCAAGGAAGTGGCTTTCTGGCAAGTGGCTTTTCCACTGCTTTCATGTCATCGTGGCATTCTTATTTTCCAGTACAGTGGTCAGATGACTCGATAATTAACAGTGGCAGATGTAGCTGCATTTAAAAACACACGCTGGCATTGGCATTAAAAATTGAGTATGTGACAGACCAGATTGGCTTACTGCAAATACAGTAAAACCTTCCATAGAAGCAAAACGATCTGTCAGGATATTGACATATTCTCCTTTTAGGGAATTATTGCACAGCTAATAGGCATGCCAGTTATTTTGTCTTTCTAATTTTGATACTGTAATATTCTTTATGCTTTCTACTAGGAAAAAGCCCTGTAAAGTCAAGTCAATAACTGGGAGGTAATTAAGTATCAGGATGCTTCCTAATGAAGGTCTCAAACTCATACAAAAGCCTTCTCAAAGTGTTAGGTCTCAAGTTTCTGTTATGTTTTAGCCAGAATTTTCAGAATCGCTTAAATGCCACAAATTCTGGTCATTGAAAACCTGTCTCAGTCTGTTGTGAACTGGACACTCAGAAGAGGACAATTCACGGCTCCTCTCTCAAACACCGTCATAGATACGTGAACTGTCTGGCAGTGCGGCTGATCTCACTTCTCTGAAAGTGCACTTACCTTACCCTTTCTCACTCTGCAACAGTGCACTTTTTTTGTTATCTCAGCGTATGTCTACAGCTAAAAAAGGTCTTTGGGTAGTGGCAATAGACTATGTAGCATAGCGTAAAGTAAACCATGTAAAAGGTCTGTATTACCAAAATTAAACTGCATATGGAATTGGGAACTTTTATATTATTGTGCTTTGCTGACTATAGACATACCCATAGGGTGCATAACTCTTAATTAAATGTTCTTCATTCTCATTGTTGTTATTTATAAATCTATATTGCTTTTCCATTTCCATATGTAAATTGGCCTCCTGGGCTTTATTTGAATTTCCTTGAGATGCTGGGCTATAGCTATTTGCCATTCCAGTTTATGGGGTTCTTGAAGAAACCTGGGATTATCTTGTTGCACAGAGTAAAGATTTGTCTGTATTATTCATAGAATCATAGAATGTCTTGGGCTGGAAAGGACCTCCAGAGGTCATCTAGCCCAACCCCCCTGCAGTGAGCAGGGACACCTTTAACCAGATCAGGTTGTTCACAGACCCGTCCAACCTGGCCTTGACTGTTTTCAGGGATGGGGCCTCCACCACCTCTCTGGGCAACCCCTGCCAGTGTTTCACCACCCTCATTGTAAAGAATTTCTTCCTTAGATCCAGTCTAAACCTACCCTGCTTCAGTTTAAAACCA